GCAAGTTCATTCGTTAGTTGTATGATCAATTTTGAGCGCCACTGTATGTATCTCAAATAGATTCTCTAGGAGAAATATGATCGACTGAGAAATTATATAATTTAATTGAGTTGTTATCACAACATTTGCAATAAAATAATGGCTTTGGAATAAATTCGCTAGAAAAAAATTAATTCAACCAAAGATTTATTTATGCATGAACTTATTTGTATCAATCCTGTATAAGACATCATAGTATCACAATAGGAGATATAGGAAAAAAAATATACCGAATTTATAAAAAGTCGCAGTAAATCTCGAAAAAATAAGTCTCGGTAGCTCCTCCCATTGTTGTCACCTGAAAATATTATACGTTTCGAAATATGATGCTTTGTTATATAAAGATGCTTGTGCGACGTCGACTATCACCATCTAAATGGCTTGTTATAATCATAAATGCAGCTCATTGTTGTCTGTTCAGTGTAAATTGATCAGCAATACTTTTCTGAGCAGGAAAGCTAGCAGTAATTCAGACCACTGGAAGAATCGATCCATAGGTTTAAAATATGTTCTTATTGTAGGTGTTTGAATTCACCACAACTATAGCAACATCTTTTGCAGCATTCAAACCCAATGTATCATCCGTTCTGTCATGATCGCCTGTGATCAAACCTTTCATAACTCATTCTTTCTTATCCTTCAGCTGTTCTTGCCATTTCGTACTAAGTTGCACGAAAATGGGTATTGAAAAACGAATGCTACAAGTTGTTGATCGGTAAGATTGATAGATTCACTCAAAGAAGATTGATGATATCCTACAATAAATTTTATATCATTGTTTTTGATCTTACGGATCACTTTAAAATCATAGTCACGATTCATCTCAGTAAATCGTCCAATATTTTCTACCGTGTCGATATATTTTTTTCAATACATTTGCTTTCTATTGACTTTTTGGTGGCATTCGTCGTACTAGCTGTGTATTCGTCTAAATTTTCCGGCAGCTCAAGTAAGTCATCACTATCGTCCATATCATATTCGCCAGAAATATCTCGATTTACTGGCAAAAGTATCGAACTGATTACGTCATTGCCGACTTGAGACTCAGCAATAACTTGTAGTAAATATTCATCACGATCTTTTTTGCATTCATGTAAAAGTTGAGTATTTTCCATAATCTTTCACGAATACATAGACATAAGTTGCTGCCGAGATTTCAGTGCATTTTCCTATGTCTTATTGACGTCACAAAGGTGAGCAACGGTGTGTCATGACACAAAAAGGGTGAGAAGAGCTCGACTGTCGGCATGATCTAGTTGAGGAATTTGAGGAGCATAAAGAATAGATGCATGAAGATAAGTGGTTTCATCATGAAATATGTTGTTGCCAGTGAGTGCTGTTTTTCAAAAGGATAGCGTTTTTTTGGAGGCCGACCACTTTGGTTAACTTATTCTTCAACTGGTGCCGCAGTCTGGGATAAATATTTCAGATCTGTTGCATTCATTTTTTCTTATATAATTCACTGATAAAATCATATAAACACATATCATTTAGAATATCTGAACGATATTGGTAATCAATTCTTGTGTTAACGAGTACGATATTTTTTGTTGTGTTCAGCCGATTGAATTTGAAAATTTTCTTTGTTATTGTTTTCATCACCATCATATACATCATCGTCTAGCACACCTATATCAAAAAACAATATAACAATTTTGATCTAATTATGATACTGAAATTCACATAACTTTCACTATTTCTTGCATTCGCATATGCAACAGAAATAATAATCAGAATGTTTTTTTTTATTGTATAGTGTAAACAGTGTTATTGTCTTACTAATTACTTGAATTTTACTGAAGCATAAGAAATCTACCTCTTATATCTCGATAAATCTGAATCAATTAGAGCATTCCTTTGAAGAAGAAAATAGCCAATGACTAAATTTTTAAAGATAAGTTTTTCCTATTTCTTTCTTCATCTTCTTATCATATCTTATGATCAGTTTTTTTTATAACAAGTACTCCTAATAGATGCAATCTGTGATCAACATACTGACCGTGTACTGAATGTTCCAATTTTTGTTTGGTACATATTTCATTCAATTGAGTTTGTAAATACCCTTCAATTTTAATTAAAAAGAGACCTTGAAATTTGTGTGTTGTGTAATGATCATTCCAGTTCATAAGGTAAGGAGCAACTTGAACTCCAGATAGTTCCGGTTGAGAAGCAAGTCTATTATAACAGTGTAGAACGAGCTTTCGCGACTTCTCGATTGCACTTTTGCTGCTTGTCTGATATGATGAATTCTTAAATGATGTAATACTTTTTTGTATAAGAGCAAATGTATCATGAAAAGACAGACTTCTCTTTGTCACATTATCCGTAATGTAATAAACACGAACCTTTGCATCGCTGCCACTCCAAATAAATTTGATATCCATGTTGGACGACAGGCTGCAATGAGATATTCATTAAAATTATTGATTAATGGATCTGACCGTCGCATATATATATATATGATCGGTGTTTGGATCAATCGTCGGAACTGGTACTGACTTGCGTAGCATACGCATTCGACAACTTTTCTTGTCACCTCGATTAGCATTCCAATACTTACAGCATTTGTCGCTATGTTTGTGAATGTTGCTTGCTTCGACCAGTTGCACTACATATGCACGAAATCGTGCTGAAAAATTAGATGATGACAGATTAGGAGTAGGTAGGCAAGCTGAAATTAATTTTGATTCCTTATGCAAAGCATTCATAACTAAAATATGATTCATATTTTGTCTGTTTTCATGATTACTATTTCTTACCAGATGCTGATCGATCATGTGTTGGTGCTTGTAAAAACTTATTTGGCGACGGAGAAACATGGAAAATCGATGAAGAAGATAGTTGTTTCATTGGTACTGATCGAGTGCCAGATTCATATATATTTTGTTTCAAGCCTGATAAATCAATGGTACTTATAGCCGCATATATATTATTTCGTGTTAATCGTGGTAGAGTATTCCATGTTCTTGCCACTATAATATAAAGCATAAGATAATATTCAAATAAAAACAAAACTCTCTATACCGTCTAAATTCTGAAAGGCACAATTGTCTTTAAATTGATCTAAGTCTTCGTTGATAATATCTTCGAGGTATACTTTCAACTTTTCTTGAAAGCTAGCATTTTGAATCTTTTCTTTCATATCAGCTGGCTTCATATCATGATCAAACCAAATAAGAAGATGTAGATGAAGAGAGCCTCGTCCTTGATTTTCAACAGTACCAAAATAGGCTTTTATTGGTTCGAGAACACCACCAACAATCATAGTATTTAAAATATTGGTAATCAATATATGAAAAAATTTGGCGGTGACAACAGGATGAGAAGCTATAATTTCAGCTCTTTTGTAGGTTGTCATCAGCTGCTCTATTTGAATGTTGTCTAAATATAACTTGACACCCGCAAAATATAGTGCTACGGGACTGTGAATATCGCTTGATTTAAAGTTAGGAAAATGCTGGGTAGACCTTGATTATAAATTAGTGCATGGATGCGGGTACATAAAGCCGTACGTGAATGTGCTGAACCCATGAGTCAACCACTGACGGTTTTGATATGATGCAGCAACTTGTTTAATGTACTGTTGGATTCCCAACTGTAGTTGTTTTTGGAAATATTATTAAGGGTTGTTTCGATATCTTTACTGTCCACTACAAAAAATAAAACTATGATTCGTTTCAAAACGCCGATCATTGTAAGATAACAGGTAACGTATGTATTCTCGTAATTTTATTTCAACTGGTCGCGATTGATCTTCAGGTGATCCACGTCCATAACAGAATAGAGTCGGATACAAACCTACTACTAGTTTTGGATTAAAGTATTCATTAACAGGCTTCGAAGAATGAGGAATCAAGTAAACACTTTCGGTGTCCATTTGTTCCATTGTTCTGTCATTTTGAATTTTTTGTAATATATAATTAGTAATTTCGTTTGAAGATACCGTCGATCCATTCACGTCGAGAACACCATTAGAGACAAAATGAGTTATGAAGTAACTTATTTGATAGTAGATCCCACCTTTTGTTAATAGGAACAGTGTCTGAAGTTGTGATTCTGTCGTATTTGCTAATGAATCGAGAACATATCCAACTCGTTCAGATGAAATTTCTTCATCGCCTATCTTCTGCTCCATCGTTGTCATGATAGATTCAGGTACGTCGTCCTCAGGTAATTGAACGATATTCTCCAGATTTATCTCAACGCTTTGATAGAGCACATTATGTTTCTTCAGCCAGCACAATGCTTGAATAATTTTTTTCAAGCGTACTGTTAGGATTTTTTTAAGATGAATGCGTTCAGGAGAATGAGCTCCGACAAAGATCACCTTAAATGTGTCACACAGATCGTCAAGTGTAAATAGTAAACTTTTAACGATGTTTGGTACATTTTGAAGAAAGGTAATGCTGACTGGGCATTTGTAATTAGTAGAATAATATGGCGAATAAAGTTTTATCACACAGCTATTGTGACGGTAAAGTGATATGAGCTTTTCTTCTGAAACTGTAAGTCCTTGCAATTCAGCAGGTACATCACCTAACCACATATTATTAACCTGTAAAAACTTAGGAATATGTTTCTTCGACAAAGCATCGAGACATTTTTGGCAAAGCGTATACATGTTCACATTGTTTTGTTGAGACAAGCCCTTGGCATATAGGTTAATATCATTCTCAAAATAGAAAGATCGTTAATTCAAGGTTGAAGAGCCTGAAATAATGAAAAATTGTACATGAATTTTCAAATTTTGACAAATATATATTACTTTGACCATCAACTTCTGTACTGGCATACGAATGTTCTAAACTGCACAGGTAACATCGACCAGTGCTGACTTTGACATTCACTGTAGAAATTGTTGCAAAAATGTCTCTTTCAGATCACGAGAAATCGGTTCAGGCCATGGCGGAGAAATGGAAGTTTTCCTTTTCTTTGTGACATTTTCGTTTTGTGTAAGATTACCCATGCTGTTACCATCAAGAGACGCGTTATCTTCCGTTTCATTTAACAGAATATAACTATTTTCTTCTTCAGCAGCAATATTGTCAGAAGCACGTTTTTCAAGTTTCTTTTTGGTTCTAATTGTTTGGTTTTATTTCATCTGCTGTTTGAGTCGAATCTGACGTTACTCGTCTGTTTCATTCATTCGATTGGATTGAGTTCGTTGTCTTGTCTTCTCAAGTCGATTTTGACGCTGTTCTTCTGTGCCATTCGTTCGCCTCAACTGACTTCGATTGTTTTGCTTTTCAAGTCGTTTCTGACGTTGGTCATCTGTCTCGTTCGTTCGAGTGGAACGAGCCCATTCTCTTTTCTTTGCAAGTCGGTTTTGATGTTGCTTCTCTATGTCATTCTGTTCTTTTTGCATTGCACCTTGAATGCTTGATTGAACGGAGTCATTTTCCATGTTGCTTTCACTTCGTAAGCGTCTCCTAGGAGGAGGCTGAAATTCAGAAATTCATATTTGAGTAGCAGCGTTGTTCTTAAATGTTTTCTATTCAGAAGTCTAAAGAAAATCGAAAATTTCTCACTTTTTCATTTTTGCAGAGTAATAACGTACCGTAACAGTTGACGTTGATTGATTGCTATTATCAAACTTATAATGCATCGCTGGCGGCATAAGGGGAACAAAATGGTTTGGACTCAATGCACCATGATTTGCCTCTCGAGCATCTTTTTCATTCTTGATGTGGGATCACAAAATTGTGATCTCACATTTAGTATTGAGAGATGGAGCAGGTGTAAAGTCATTATTCAGAAACGCCCTCTCTTCTCGAAAGTCAATTTTTGGATAAATAATCCGTATATTGCATTTAAGTACACTGCATAGAGCATGAATCTTGTACAATTCTGAAAACATATGTTTTTTGTGTATAGATTGGATAGCAATGTTCAGAGATTCGACGAATTGTGAATATCTGTTTGAATAATAAGTTTCATTCGTCATAAGTTCAATAATGGTTCGAACTAAAAAATTGTTTCAAAATAGATGATAAAACAACATACACGAAAAATAAACCTATATACAATGGAATTCTCTTATCCTCACTATTGAATTATTCATTAAAGGAAGAATAGAACCATTCAAACAGTTTCCATCGCCACTAACTTCGACTGGAACAAGAGGACGTATATTACCGGTAGCTTTTTCAAGATATTTCGTAGCTACTACATCTACAATGTGTTTTGTCTTATCAAAAACTTGATTCCGATGAAATTGAATTGCTTTCATAATTGATTCAATCTACAAGACACTGTTTATAGTTCAAGTGTTACTCAAACAAACTTACTTGTCGAATCCATTGTACAACAAGAGCAATTTCGTCATGATGCATGACAGTTTCCAGTTTTTCACATTTGACCTTTACCACCTTGAGGATCAGCGAAATCCATCCTCCGTATTGCTATCCCACACGTCTCGGAAACAGCTGGCATTGATAATATTGTATAAGCACTATGGTAGCACCCGGCGTTATCACAGCATATGCAAGCTTGCTCAATTGAACTATTATGTACTTTTAATCTTGGCAATACATCAGTAACGGTTGCGACGACAAGTTTACTGTCTTGTGAGCATTGATCGATCACATGGACAAACATTGTATATTCGAAATCGTTGGAATTTGGCGTTAAAATAACAAAAATAAATGTATGTTACGAGATTTACATATATTATTAATGTTTATAAAAAACTGGTCGTACTCTATGTTTCTATAATAATGACTCGTTATCTAAATAATTTGTTCTCTATTACGGGGGGTTCTATAGAAAATTCACAATTTGCACATCCATAGCATCGAAGAGACTATTTACCGTTGAATTAGCTAAGAGTTCCACTATAGCATGAGCATCGTCACATAAAATGTTAATAACGGATTAATTAGAATATTACTTCTGAAATTATCTTAATGGTGTTCGAAGTCTTTCTAATGTTTCATTTTAACGCAAAGAAAGTGTTCCGCACATTTAGATCACGAGCTTCCGATCTCATGATTGATTTACAAATAGAAGAAAAGCTCAATGTGTAGTACGAAATACTTTCATAGAATGATTACACATTACACTCATTTCAAAAATAGTCATCAGTAAGCCTTGTTTTTGAAAAAAGAAATTCGTAAAATGCAAAGCATGATCTTGAAATGTATCAACAAACAAAATAAATAACTTTCTAGAGCACTTTGAGCTGAAAGTATAAGAAGGATAAATATTACTTAGAAATGAAAAAAGAAATTTCACATGCAGGGTGTCCCATAAGTCACTGAACAACTTTCAAATCTTTTTTATTTTCAACCATATGAAGTAACAATGAAAGAACATCATGTAATTATACAACAGTTAAATGTACTCATGATACAAAAAAATTAAGATGAAAGAAAGTGTCCGTCTTTTTCTAAACAGGCACCAAGTCGTTGGACCACAGAATGACATACCTTTCGGCACATGACTTTAGTTACTCCTTCGCAGGCTTCCCGAATTCTGTTCTGAAGTTGCGTAGTTGAAGTACAAGGTTCCTTGAATACAATGTCCTTGAGATATCCCCAAAGAAAAAAATCACAGGGTGTTAAATCGGGCGAACGCGCTGGCCAGTCGAAAGGCCCGCGTCTACCGATCCAGCGACCAGGAAATTTTTCATCAAGCCACTCACGTACTATAACAGCATAATGAGGTGCTGCTCCATCATGTTGAAAGTACAGTCTCTTGCGTTGCAATTGAGGCCATGCATAATCCACTAACATTTGTTTGTACGTTAAACCGGTGACCGTTTCGTCGAAAAAGTAAGGACCAATGAGACCACCAGAAGTTATACTACACCATACCATGACACTTTGTTCCGTATTTGGCAAGCTAAATTTTATATTAGGATTTTCAGTGGACCAGTAGGTACAATTGTGACGATTAACTGTTCCGTTTCTGCTAAACTTGCACTCGTCGCTCCAAAGAATATGGTCAACCAATTGCGGATCACTACTGAATTTTTCAAGCCATATTTCACAAAATTGACTGCGTCTATCGAAATCATCTTCGTTCAGGTCGACAATTAGAGTTGGATGATAGGGTTTTAATTGTAGTTTCTCCATAGCAGCATGATATCGACTTTTGCTAATACCAGCGTCAGCAGCGCCTTGTCGAACCGATAATCATGGCTGGGCACCCACCATGTCTTCGATTTCCTGTAACTTCTCTTCTGTTAAAACTGTTGTTGGTCGACCCGTGTGAGATAAATCTGCTACACTTCCTGTTTCATTAAATCTCTGGTTCACAGCTGTAATTGTCGCTAAAGCTGGAGAATGTGTGTTAAATTGATGTTTCCATTGTCTTTGGACCTCGTGTACATTGCCAAATTTTGAGAAAAGTCGCACCATCGCGACTCGTTCTTCTAAAGTTCGAGCCATAGACATTTCAAATACTTGTTTCAGCAAACTAACTTGTATACTATCTAAAACAAAAACATTGAGTTAGGTCCATCCAAAGATAAGAAATAAATTCATCTGCAAAGTCGTTCAGTGATTTATGGGACACCCTATATATTATTTATTTACTTTTTTCACAGTTACGTCCGCTTTCACTCTCTTCTTTGTCATCTTCTTCAACGAGATCTTGCTTTCGGCCTCTAACAATAATGTCATCTTGTTCTTGATCATAATTAACCAGTGCAGTATTATTCAAATCTTGTTTTCTTTTACGTGAAACGACAGTGATGTGCCACGTTATTCTCCGCTTTAAAAAAAATTGGTTTGGTCTTCCCTATACTTAACAGGAAGCCATCCAAAATAAAAAAGCAACTTTATTGGTGAATTTTCTTTGAGATTTAGACGAAATATTTTACAAACATCCATTTTGTTATAAGATAGAATGTTCTAGCTTTTTTCTGTTTTTCGTTTTTACTCGATGCAATGCTGAATTCCAATACAAAATTTGCCTTACATTTGTATTCAGTCATATAATTTTATATTATAGTATAAAAATACAAATCGTAGCAGGTACTACTCAATGACATAAATTTTTATATTCAATGTCTCTGAAGTAAGTTTACCCAACAGGAGAAATATTTATGAACTGTGGCGATTAGAAAAAAGGTCAAGAAAATCAGATATATTTACTTCATGACAAAATCTAAATTCAAGTAAATTGCGTCTTCTCCCAAAACATCTAAAACACTCTCCCTTCCGCTGTCTTGATTAACTGATCGTAAGTGATGGGATTTCCAAGCTTGAATAGCATCATAAGCAAGAGTAAACTTGTACATTTTTCGTTTAACTTCTTCTTCGTCATCTTTACTATTGTCGATTGCTCGATTGATATCTTGTAATGTTAGTGCGAGATATAAGCACTCAGAGCATATTTGATCATGTTCATGGTCAGAACATGGCACTGAAAAAGAATTAGACATGGGATCACTGAGCGAAAAGCATATACAATGCTCAAGAACACGTGATGTACGTGTCACATTAGCTTTGAAGTCCGATTTCAAATATTGTTTGCTTTTCCTTATATTATTGACAAGACGATGGCGTTCACTTGTATCCAGAGTAAGGCCATTAATTAATTCTATAATATTGTCGAATACTTCACTATCATTAGTAGCACAATAATTTAAACCGCTAACTGCTCGTCTCGTAGATGCTTTGCATTCAGCTAAAATTTTAAATAGACTTTTTTCATGAAGAACAGAAAATTCGAAAAAATATTCTGTAGTTTATTTATAATACTGCATTATGATATGTGTGGAATCAAAATTTCGGATTGTATCCGGGAAATATAACTTTGTGATATCAGATAATGTAAGTGTCCGCTCCTCAAATGGGATATCTGTACATACATAATTGCTCAAAATAAAATTGATGAAATGTTCAACTTGTACTGGTTCAAATCGGCACACAACACGAGGAGGACGTTGAATTAATGTGCCTGAACCTGCCTGAGTAGCATATAATCGAGCAGCGAGATATCGATAATAAGTAATGTTCAGAATAAATGATTGTATAATTGAAAAATTTATTTTAGGCGCTACATTTGATAATATAGACCGACGCGTATACGAATTTTCGGCATTCTCATAAGCTTCTACAATGCCATTCATTACAGGTACCAGCTGCCGATCATATACAGTTCTGTTCGACTCTATAAAGAGAAAAGTATTCTATGAAATCTTGAAACGTTGTTAGTTATCATTTTCAAAAAAGAATAGATCTTGTCTCACATTATGTGAATCATCGTGAGCTAAAAATTTCATAATATGTTGAATTAAATTGAGAGTCGATGCGAGAAAATTTGCTTTTGATTGTTTTTGGAGTTTGTGATATGCATTAGTTATTTTTATTTCTTTTTTTGATTCACATAAGTACAAAGCTTCATACCGTAATTCCCTTTTTTTCTTATCTAAAATTGCCATTCATTCACTACTGCTGTTGGGTGACTAATTTAAAAGAAATTGTTCATAACCATCATGAGATCGAGTATCATCAGTATCGTTATCGCTAAATGCGATGTTAGCGAGACCTTCCAAAGTCTTTTTATGTTTTTCAATCTTTTGAATATCAATATGCGCTGTTAAAGACTGGTGGCAACCACAACAAATTGTTTTGCCGTAAGAATGAGAAATATTCAATATTTCAAAAGTAGTCAAAGCTTGAATAGGATTAATATTACGTTCAGATCCATTCTATTATATATGAAAATTACAGTGTGGTTACACACCGCAACAAATTTAATGAAAATCTTACAGGTGTTGGCTTCTGAAGCGACATACACAACCAGTATTTTATATAAGATAAGATCGAATATTTTTTCAGAAGTTTTTTCTTGTGTGCAGAACAAACAAACGTAGAATATAATGAGAGACGATCTTGATAAAAACGATAGTCAGAAAGCAATAGAATTTTAATAAGTGAGCTTGCACCTGGAAAACATTTCATATGATTTTCTTCATATCGAAGATCAGATAATGTCATAGCATCGTTGCTACAGATTCCTTGGTTTGAAAAGAAACATTTTTGTTCAAACATTTTCTTATCTAAAATAATTTTAAAAGAATCAGAAAATCCAAATCACATTCAGGCAAAGCATGTGGGATTCGTTTACGCTTAGTTTTTCATTTGTATCAGGAAATAGAGTCTTTCTCAAAAATTCTCTAAGCAGGTTAGGATCGCGCAAAATAGTCGTTGAGCTCTTGTTTTGAGAAATGTGTACGTTTCGGTAAATTCTATCAAATCGAATACTTGGACATGTCAGATGGATGATATCGAACGAGCTCAAAACCTAATGCATGGGTCATATTGTTCTTGTGAGATATTCTTTCTTCATTAACATGCTGTTATACGACGTCCTCACAACTATTTTGTAATGATGTTTTTTTAAGTTTATGCATGAAAAGAAATTTAGGTAGTGAATAATAAAATCAATTAAGAAATGTGAAAAATAAAAGTTTTCGTTAAGAGTGTTTTATATTTTTTTCAATACCAAACAGGTACATACATATTGATTACCATTGATGACTAGGTCCCGTCTTTCTTTTAGCTTTTCTTCATATACCATCCAAAAATCTTTTGATATTTCATCAATTTCTTCTTTCGAACGTCCACTCATGTGCAATACTCGATTAATTAAGGGTTCCATAGTACTTTGAAACACTTTTGTGAATATTTTTACTAATTGATCAAATGTCAACTGGCCATTGTGATATTGTTCAATTGTAGGCACCTTCAATTGACTTAATTCAGCTTTAATCAATTGTAATGAACATCGATCAAATAATTCATAATCCATACATTCAGATAATGAACGAAGATATAAAGGAATTGTCAAGTTCAATAACTCTTGTTCATTAAAAAATGATTTAGCACATGTATACAGCTGATCGAAATAATTGCTCATACTATCTATTCCTTGATCATCGAAACTGGGAATACTAAGAACTAGTATTCCTCCTGGTACAAGTTCTCGAGAACGATGTTCTATAAATGAATTAAAATCAACTTTTGCTTGTTGTTCGTATGCGCGACGTTCATGATTGTCAGCATGTATATGAAAACAATGATTCTTAATGTTAAAAGGTATTTTTGATAACCAATGCAGTGAAGAAGAGGTGAAGCCTATTGAAAGACTATTGTCTGGAAGACATTGTTCATAAAATGAATAACCATTAGCCACACCATGATATGATTTATCTTCTGAAAGAAGTTGAAAAAGTTTTGTCCAATCATTTGTTGGAAGATCATTATGAACAACAAGTGGTGATGTAACAAATTAATTTTTTTCTTGAAGATATTTAATAAATATTTTCATAGCTATTATTGAATTTCTTCCATGAGATGAACCAAAATCAGCAATAACCAAAGGTAAAGATGAAACATTTAATTCATCAATACCCAAATGAATGTAAGGTGTCATTAAATTAATGATAGCAAGTTGAGGATCAGAGTTTTCATTATAATCTCCAGCCATACCAGAAGTTGAGCCTGGATTCATTGCCATTTTTTCTTACTATATTAAAATATAACAGATGATGAACGGAACATTACTAATTATGACGAGATTTAAACATAAGTTGATGAGAAAAATAGGTAAAACTTTGATCACACTTTACTCTCCTTTTTTTATGGTGGCTCAAATACGACTTCGTATATTCACAAATCTGGAAATAGATCTGTTTAAGCTATCTTATGTGAAATGAAAGAACTCGCTCAAACGTATTGTATAGCGGCAAAATCTTGATAACGAATAAATAGCGTCGTTGAATTCACCTTCATCTCGAATAAGGAACGTTCAGATAAGGAACACAAAGGAAAATGAGACCTGCTATATACAGAATGATTGTAAGAGAAAAATAAGGAAAAGAGAGATATGCTTACTTGCTTGATCAATGAATAAAAATGGTATGCAAGTGCTCGAAGTAATAGTGCATTTATTGACTTTTCGAGAAAGAGAAACAGAGCAAAATAAAGAAAAAAAAAGAGGTTGAATATTTCGTTGTAAACAACTGTTTGTGCCTGATACGAAGTTTGACTCGATTCGATTCGAACTCGGATGCATTAGCTATGTAGTTTTACCTTATATCGATAAAGAAAAGATACCGAAGTAGTACAACCTTATTCTAAATATGCTTCTCCATAGGCTCTGAAAGAGCTCTTAGATGCAAAAGTGTTCGAAAGGCCTTATTTATTTGCAAAACTAGACTAGCATAACCTCTAAACCACGAAGCCAGTTTTCGTCCGATGATGTGCTATGGCTTCAAGTTTCTAAATTACAACTGACATTATTCTGATTGTTCACAAATCATCTACAAAGTCCATCGTCATGAAGTAGAATTCTTCTCAACATTCCAGAATCTACGAAATACTTTGTAAAAAAAAAAGTAAAAGGACACGATGGAAACATATTCTTTTCTGTTCTTTCTTGACGACGTACAACAAATATCGTGTGTATGTAGTATGGTATAATGTAAATATTAACAAGCGCAAGATTTCATTGCGTTGTTATGTATATAGAAGCCCTGCTTTTTCATTCCTCGTCATTTCTTCAATAAAAAAAAACAAACCTTGTTCTGTTCACGGTCATTATGACAATAAAGAACGCTACAGTACTAATGCAAAGTTTTATTATAATAGATTGTTATACGAACTGCGAAATATAAGAAAAAAAAGAGAAAAATGATCAATTTGTTTTCTAAAATATTCTTCTTTTTGAATCAACAGCTACTGTTTCGACATGGAACTCAATTCGAATTGTAATGCTTATTTATATAAAGAACAGTTAGGTCGTTCAAACTTATTGACACCTTATAACAAACAAGAGAGTTTTTTTGCTATATTCTTCAGATAATGTTTCATTTTCTTACAAATAACGGGTGACCCATAATAAATGGCAGCACCCCTTTTGTATCAATCAGTGAGCATAAATTTTCATAGGACTGCGAATTCTAAATGAGCTTTGTATACTAATAATATAGAACTTGATAAAATATATTGAGTGTATTTTAATTAATATTCCTGTAAAAGAAATATTCTCATGCATGTTTTCCTCATAGAAATGATCAATTTTTTGATTAAAAAAAACTCTAGGCTGGCTCGAATCGATCGCTTACTGTTTATGGTTGCAACTTTCAATATCGATATATAGTACAAGAAAACTTTGTGTACAACGGGAAATAATGTTGAATTATCTTTAAGATTGATGCTAACTAGTAATTTTCGTTGTAAACTTTGCGATTTGTCTATTACTATGTACGATTGTCTAATTATTCATCTATGGTTTTGGTCTTGTTGTATCAAATGGGTTTGATACCTTGATTTAAAGTTATTCATTCATGCATCTAAAGTTTCTTTTGCCATGACATTCTTAATTATTGTTGCCGATTAAATGTTTTTTTTTTCCTTTTCATCCTATTTCAATATTACAAGGCGAGAAAAGATGAAAAATAGAACACGGCAAGTGGCTTTTTTTCTCTTGTAACAGAAACTCGAACGTTGTTATTCTGGTGCAATAATTTGTTCGTTTCTTGGTCAAAATAACCTCATGTTGTATGCAACAATTTAGAGTAAAGTACACTGATTTTTTTGTATGCTCGTTCTTGAATGTGAGCTCGCAATTCATATAAATGTTACTTAATTGCTTGTTGTTCTTGAATAATTACCATCGTTCTTTTCACATCCAGGCATCTACAAGGCAAATGTATTCACCTATACCATTTTTTTCGATCGTGTTTCTTTTTCTCATCAAGCAATTTTATACAGGTGAAACAGTCGAACTAACAGGTAACACATATTCATATTTGTCCTTTTGCAAATTGAGTACTCAACTGAAAAATAAATTACAAATGAATTTCAGATATATTTTGTCATCAATAATCGAATTCTTCTGTTGTTTTGTATTTTATATAGAATACATTCATGCATCGCTGAGTATGATCAGTAAAAACTGAGAAAACATGTTGTTTTATTTCGAGAAAAGGATATTTCACGTGTAAAACGAAAAGTATTTGTGCTGAAATCTTCAGACAGCAACGTGACTCAAGTCATGGTTTATATATTATCGATGGAAGATGTTTTAACAGGTCCTAGCGTGACGAGAATCGAAAATCAATTGATGATCTTCGCTCAAAAAAGAAACACATAAATAGCTCAATGATGCATTTCTAATGAAAAACTTTTTCTTTATCATGCATAAACACATTTTTTTCGTTCTTGTTGACGTACATTCCAGATCGATTGCAAATGTTTTGTGTGACAAAGTTTTTCAAATCGAAAAAATCACTTTTGAAAAACATTTTCGGTATATTCTCTTTAGTCAATGTTAACAAATATAAAAACGAATGTTTATCGCATTTCAAAAAATTACTTTTGCAAAGAATGATCGATTTCGAACATAAAATGAATGAGATTTTCATATATTTTTCCCACATGATTATCGACAGATTCCAGCAAAAAAGACAGACATATCTACTGGTTACTAAGAATGTGATCGAGATCGATGTAGTTATGGACAAATGGAACTGTAAAATATAAGCTGAAGGTAATGTCTACTATTGAAAGTAAAGGTATGCAACAAAACAACCAAAAGAAGAGAAAAAAAAGAGACGTTTAATAACGAGAGTAAGAGAACGTTCGATCTTATTCGTCAATTCAAAGAGAATCAAAAAGCAAATGTCGATACATCATGTTAGGGGAGTGCGGTAATTAGTGAACTCCCTTTCATGTTCTTGTATATTTCATTCTTTCACTTAAACGGTATCGACAGACCGATGGGATGCAGGTTAATATAATGGTTTTCATCTGAAAAAAAAGAAATAAAGTGCCGTCGTGTAGGTGACAGTATGAAGCACACAAAAGAATGAAACAGAATCTGATCTTACTGTACTCAAAAAAAGTAATTATATCGATATCGATTTATGCACGAGTTTTAAGTTGATAAATTAGGTCCAACTGTCTCGTGATATTGCTAGTGTACATCTCCTTTTTCCTCTTTGGAAGCTGACTAATAGAGTTCTGCATTCATTCCTAGGGAAAAGATCGAGTACGAAACTCTCTTCTCTCTAAGAAATTTTTTGTGGATGTGTCTGCCTATAACTATAATTGCACTCTTCAGATAAACTATCTTCATCTGCAATAATTGAACTATGTCGTCTGACTCAGTTATCACCGTTAACGACATTCATTCTCAATTAAATCCGACTCGAGTGGCTGAAATCGTCAAGGTAGACTCATTGGAAGCAATCCAAGAGACTGTCGTCAAAGCTATAAAAGAGAATCAATTTATTTCGATTGCTGGAGGGCGACATGCCATGGGCTGTCAACAATTCGGTACTGACACGGTTCTAATAGATACCACTGCACTGAATCAAATACTAAGTTTCAACAAAGAGACGGGTCTGATTGAGGTTGAAGCTGGTATACAGTGGCCAAAATTAATTGACTATCTCGTTGAAACACAAAAAGATGTTCCCTGGCCACAACAATGGGGTATTACTCAAAAGCAAACTGGTGCCGATCGATTGACCATTGGTGGAACGCTGGCATGCAATGCTCATGGGCGAGGCTTGAAAATGCAACCTATCATTGCTGATGTTGATTCCTTTACCCTAATTGATGCACAAGGTAATTTTCTCACGTGCAGTCGCCAAGAAAACAAAGAACTCTTTGGATTGGTCATTGGCGGTTACGGCTTATTTGGTGTAATTTATTCGGTAATATTGCGCTTAACACCCCGGAAAAAAGTAGAACGAGTAGTAGAACTCATCACGGCTGACAAACTACCGGAAGCTTTTGAACAGCGTATTCAAGCTGGTTTTCTCTATGGTGATTTTCAATTTTCTACCGACGAGAAATCGGACGACTTTTTATATCGTGGAGTTTTCTCTTGCTATCGGCCAGTTGATTCGACTACCGAAATGGCAGAAGCTCAAAAAGAGCTTTCTGAAGAGCATTGGGACAATCTCTATTATCTTTCACATGCTGATAAAGCTGAAGCATTTCGCCAATATACCACTTATTACCTATCCACATCTGGCCAAATTTATGCATCTGATACTCATCAATTAAGTATCTATTTAGACGATTATCATCATGAACTTGATCATCGCCTTGGTTTAGGAGAACAGGCCTCTGAAATTATTACTGAAATTTATGTTCCTCGACCTGAACTTCCCGACTTTCTGGTCGAAGTTCGAGAGGATTTTCGAGCCAACAAGGTGAATATGGTCTACGGGACAATTCGATTGATTGTACAAGACACTGAAAGTTTTTTGGCTTGGGCAAAAAAGTCTTGGGCCTGTATCATCTTTAATATAAATACAGTGCACACGCCGGAAGGGTTAGAACATTCCGCTAATGCCTTTCGTCGCCTGATCGATCTGGCTATTAAGCGTGGTGGCAGTTACTATTTGACCTATCACACATATGCTAGTCGTTCACAGGTTGAAACATGTTATCCGCAGTTTGCCGAATTTCTTCGCCTCAAGCGACTTTATGATCCGCAAGAACGTTTTCAAAGCAACTGGTATCGTTGCTACCGAAATATGTTTAATACAAATGACGCGAATGCTTACTCAATGGACCCTTTAATCTGGGAAGTGAAAACTTCGAAATGAGTTACATACGTCTCCTTTCTTTTCACACGATACTTTATCATTTCAATTTAAACTGCACATGCCGTTTTCTTTCTTCTCTTATATTTTCCCACATTCTATTCTGTTCATGTTCATTTTACAAGTTTTTATCATGCATTGAGATAACTCTAATCCGCCAGAATTGATTCGTGTAGGCATTTTGAGTTTATCACCAATAGCTTTTTCTTCCAAATATGTAACTCGTTTCATTATCGGAATTCTTATCTAATAAAAGTGTGAATGTATTAAGTACACAAAGTGACTTGAAAACTGTCTTTTATTTCGTTTGAATACATCAAAATTGAGTTAGCTTTAGTAATGAATTCGGAAATTTCACAGATAAAGTGGAGAAAGATGATTGTAGTCTTCTAATTTTCATCAACAATAACAATATCGCACTTGTGTCCCATGAAGATCATTGAATAAAATGTTTACAAAGCACGATAACGTGATCGATCCATGCACGTATCAGTACATCATCATGTTCGTGATCTTGACAATATTTAATTATATATTCTAATCATTGAAAAGTCCGAACTTTAAGTGGTGATGCTCTCTTGTGTCGAAGAAAAAATTTCGGCCACTTTCAGCTAGTGCTTTAATTATGTTTGATTGATAAGACTTAATTTTTATAGAATGGCGATAAAATTGAAAATTTTCTGTAAATCTCTTTTTTCTTATTCTTAGGGATTGTAAGCCTTCAACATTTGTAAGAAAGAGAGTAAGCAAGTTACATTAACTTTATACTTACTTGCTCGTAAGTATCAATTTAATTTATCTGCAACTTTCCGTTTTTTCAATGGGTATTGCTCTTTTTCTTATTAGGCCGTTTTCTTCTTATTCTCAAAGCATTGTTTCCACTAAAAATAAAATAATAAAATTGAAAAGCAATAACTAGAAGTCATGTTTGAAAGAGCCGCTTGATAGTGGTATCAATCATTCTCGTTTTTTTTGTAACAAACCCTAAGACAGAATGTTTTGTTTTTCTTGATTAATTTATAAGAACAATATTAGGGAAAATATATTCCATTATATATTCAAATTCTTCAACTGAATATTTATGTTATACATATTGAGTGTAAAGTAATGATTGTTGAAAGAATAATTTGATCAAAATATGAATACAATCGAAATGAATTTACAATGAAAGTAATGTAAACGAATGAATGAAGAAAATAGATAATTAAATGAATAAGAAACCTAATCGAAAGGTTAATATCAAAAGAAAATTAAACATGAAATACAAAATTCAATGTTTTTTCGAATTTCTTATTGTTCTCATTCTTATTATTTAACAACAAGAAACTTTTATTGTACAACCTGTAGATTTATCTGCTCAATCCTCTCAATATTGATATTGTCTTCAATATAATCAATCATTTATATCGGGTCTTTTTTATTATTTCAGACATTTCTTATTCGAATAAAATAATTATCTGCTTAAAACAACAAAACAGATCCTTTTGTTTCGAAATGAATTATATTTAATAAAATATTTGATAGATTGAATACGTATAAGATAAACATATCAATTATATAAAAGTGCATGTTTTCATATAAAATATTATATATAAAATGAATAATTTTAATTGATTCTTTTAGAATAAAAATGATTTATTGAAAGAAAGAATAATAAAATTTCATTTGACATGATTTAATTGTCGATATCTTGTGCCATATACATATATAATCTAGATGAATATTATTTAAGCATCAAACAAAGCCAATTAGACTGACGTGAGTCTTTTCTCTATACCATTAAAATCTTAAAATAAGAATTCTTCAATCAAACTCATCAGATATCACTAAAACTTTTTTCTTTTCTAAATGATTATTTATTTCATACTAGCTAAGAATGCACATAGTAGGTCATAGCATTTATGAAAACACTAATTAAATACAAAAATGTTCTTTTAATTATTGAATTTTATTGGTTTAATTCAAACAAAATCCAAGTTCAACAAAGAATAAATGGGATATATCATGTGTTAACAATCACAGAGTTTTTTTCACATGAATATCTGAAGAAGTATAAACATTTTGGTAAAAGAATTTTTCAATAAAATGACAAATTCGATAAAAATAATTGCTTGCTTTATAATCGAGTAACAGTTCAATTTGAATTTATCATCAGAATAATTGACAAAGTAGTTCATCACATTCATTAAGTCAGTTAAATCGAATATTATTGCACTATTCATATGTTGATTGATAAAAAATCTGAATGTTTATCATTAAATTTAATAAAAGTTATTTCATCATTAGTCAACAAAAAGATTATTTTAACAAAAAAAATATTAAATAAGATATAAAACGAAAAAGACTATCCCTATGACAATATCTAGATAATCTTTATCATTAAAATAGAACAATATTTATTCTCTCATTTCAAACTAAAATATTTAATAAAGAAGAAAATGAAAAAAATATATCAAGTCTCGAATAATTTAGATTGAATTAAAAACTGTTCTACTGATGTATTTAAACTGTGAAGTTAAAATTAAAATAGTTTTTATTTTTAACAAGAAACCTTTCAAGTTTAGTAAAATAGACTGAAAACTTTATTATTTTATGTCGAAGATAGTTCACTACGAAACTGAGATAGATCAATATTTTTCTTTCAATCTTTTTAAAATTTACTTCAAACTCATTTTTACTCAAAAGATCTTAATATGATATTCAGATTGGATCTGCACCTATCACATAACGAAAAAATTTTTCTACAATTATAATAACATACATATTAACCATATAAAATACATATAGGAATAATTTTGTTTCGATATAAAAGAAAACAATTTAACTATATACAATGTGAAATCAATCGAATTGCCCAATTTCGATAGAAATAGACTTTCACGGTCAATAAAATAAAATAGAATAGACGTGGCTGAATTTTGATAGGGGAGTGATATTGCTTCTTAACAATCTAACCAGAATTTCAGCTTAACATCGGTAAAAAAGATTTGTCAAATTTTTTCTCTATGATTATATTATTAATGATAATGGTTAAGTTTAATCAAAAATTTCTTAATAAACATGAATATTTTAACATAAAATAGAAATTTAATAAAAGCTTTTTAAGTAATTTAAAAAAAACGAATAGTTTGTCTAATCAATTCTGATATTTTATTGATTCAATTATAAAGACAAATGTCTTTCTTTTTATCAAATATTTTAAACAAAATTTGTTCAGAAAATATCTAGTTTATTATAAAATCCATATTGAATTTTAAAAGTCTTTAAATAATCTTAAGATAAATAAAAAAAATTGTTAAGATTGTTTATCTCTGGAAGAAATAGAAAATGAAAAAATAGTCTTATCAATAAGTGTCATCGTCTTGAGTCATATTACATAAATAGATTTATTCGAATATTTCATCGTTAAATGATATTATATAAAAACTAATATCATCTCATAGATATAAGTTATTTTTTATTCTTAACAATGGTATCAATCTATCTTCATCATAACAATAAAAAAAAAATAAAACTTATTACAAAAATATTTCTACTATTTGTTCTATTTTTATAGATATTACATCGGTTTTTTAAATAATTTTTTATTTTAAAAACTATTCAAAAAAAGAAAAAAACTTAACAGTACTCAACAAGGATGTTTTGTTTTATTTTTGCAATTATTGTAACTGATTTAGATAGTAAACCATAAACGATTAATTAATATATGTTGAAAATCATAGTATTATAGATATATAAATAAGAACATCTGATCAACAAAAAAAAAAGCAAATATGTGAATTACTGAATATATAAATGATGATAGAATCTATATTATTAATTAAAATTTAAAAACATGTTGTTAATCAAATATTATTTATAAAACAGTTGTTTTTATTTTTAGCTACTATTTTATTATCAACATTTTTATTTGAATAAAATTTTTTTTTTCTTATTTTAATTTAGAGACAGCAGAATATTTTGGTTCATCTACATATGTATATATTTATAAGAAAATTCTTCTTCATATCTAGATTATTAATATTAATCAACATACTTTTCTTGAAATACTTCATTAATTTATTTCAAATACATAGAAATACTAAATGAAAAAGTGTTAACTATCCGAATACGTTTTCAGTTGTTCGACCTTCATTTAAATTATTTAACAAACATTCAACATCATAACATATTTACTTTAAATTGTTGTTCTTACTAGAAATAGTAGAATTTAAACACTTTATCTATTTAAACTTTTTAATTATCTAATAGAAATTATTATATAATAAACAAAATTGTGTCCCATTAAACTATTATCTGATTAACATTAATTATATTGATTAAAAGCTGATTGAATCTTAAAAGAAATTTGTTTAACTAGTTAATAAATTTCTTAATCAATTGTTAGTTACTATTCAATTTGTTTTTAAATGATTATGCGTCTGAATATCAATATGAACCAAGTTTTTTTGAGTCCAATCGATCTGATTTGAGTCTTGTCTATTTTAAGAAATCGTCTAAGTTTGCTCAATGAGAAATACACAGAATGGCACAAATTCTGATGGAGTTAGATGTGCTACTTTAATTTAATAAACACTTTAATCAAGTAATTAAAACAACAGGTCAGTTGGAACAAGCCATCAGAGGATTCAAATGCAATTAATGTACACATTTTTCATTGTTTTTCATATTCGTATTTTCCTCAAAACGAAACTTTTACTATTTAATATATATTTGTCTCTTTTTTGTTCTAATTAATTCAGCACACTACACAAAGATTATTACCTGATACATTCATTTCTATCTTTTTATAATCATGAAAAATTCATCTAACCTTTACAATCTTGACTGGATAAATTTTTCTTTATTTATCATTAATACTTGTTTTTCGTGTCAAATCTGAATTGTTTAAATTTTCAGCTCTATACAGTCGGTTTAATATTTGTAAGTAAACATCATGATTAAAGCAATAGTAGTTGTCCACTTTAACTATTATTAAACTTTATTAATAATTTAGACAATTA